GAATGTGTCCAGCACCAGAAGCTGCGTTGGTTGGGACATGTTTTACGCATGCCGAACCATCGTTTGCCGAAGAGAGTACTGTTTTCCATGCCCAACTCAGAGTGGCGTAAACAGAGAGGTGGCCAACCCATGACCTGGCAGAGGAGTATGAAGGAGATCACGAAACGCTTGGGTGCTGTCGGTGCTACTCGCCTTCCAGGGTGGGGACCACCTGATCCTCACTGTGCCTGGTTGGAGACACTACAAGATATGGCTGCCAACCGATGTCAGTGGCGTTCTTGTTGTCAGTTTCTGTCCAGATTGCCTGAGTGAATGTTTGGAGGTGTAGGCACCTCGGAATGATTGTGTTAAGCTACCACTAAGTCCCTTCCCCATCCACCTTTATTCTTTTCTTTACAATAAGGCTTTCAAATAAGTCATGGTTGTACGGCAGTGAAGCATTGGTGTTGAACACTGATGTCATGCTGTCGTCGATGATGATGATGATGATGAAGGTTTTTGTTACGCTGAAAACTCCAGGACCCATTGTTTTTAATGACTTTTTTTTAGTGTTGTACACGTAATGTCTCTTGTATCCAGAAAGTTAGATGTATGCGTTAGCAAGCGCTTTTGTCCTGTTTATCCATTGATTAGGTCTAAAATGTGAGGTCACTGCACACAGCCATGTACCCTGATCGCTCAGCCAGTAAACGTACCAATGACCTCGGATTGTGAATAGGTGAACACATCCGTCGTGTTTCTATGTTTTCCACTTCAAACATCTTAAGCGAGTGCAACCGGCGCGGATTCCTGAGTTTCGATAATTAGACGGGCTTGTATGCACACAGTGGTAGCTACCTGAAGTGCGGCTCTAGAGGTAGGTATACGTGACGCTCGGTCTTGAGTAATTGATTATCCAGTTTCTCCTTTGAGAATTGCAGGTGTCCCTTCAGATGACTGGTAGTATTAGGCCACTCTCTTGGGAACATTCTCAATATGGCATTGTTCACTGTGTAGAGGATCCCTTTTTCAAACCAACAATTGCCCCTCTGCCGCTTTTGCAGGGTCACAACTCTCCATCGGTGCAGCTACTCGTAATGGCAAGGTTATGGGTACCCGATGTGTACGACTGCAGCTTCGAGATTTAGCCTATGCCAGTGCTCAGACACATGCGACCGAGAACGGTGTTGAAGTTTTAGTGCCTTTGGATGTACTCCTCGCTCAAGAACTAGGCCGGCGTGCACACACATCACTTGGTATGTTAGGAAAGCGACGCTTAACATGCCAGTCCCGTTGCGGTCGTACTGCTTATCGAAGATGTCGTCACAAGCGCAAGCGTTTTTGCCAGCGCTCACCAGTGTTATCGATGGGCCCCGGGCTCAATTCGTCGCAGACGGATTACCCCGCAAACCATGTCAATGGATACAGCAGTCAATATATCGAAGCACCGTTGTCATCAAATGAGTTGGAAGGTGAGTTGCTTAGTTTTTTCTTTAATCACTTGGTCGAATATTTGAGTTCGTACCTTAGCTTTCCGATACCCCCTGTTTCGGTCCGTTTGCTGCAATGGTTTGCTGAAATGAACGACTTCCTTGGTTGTGACTGAAACAACCCACGAACGGCGACCGTCAGTGAACTCTTCATTACTCGCGACTTAGACGCGATAGGTAAGGTTTTCTCTTGCAGAGCTTTGTATATAAACGTCCTAGTGAGCGTGATATGCCAGCAACCAACTTGGTGTTCCGTAATCCAGCTGATGGGTATGAGAGCCAGTAAGCGTTGTCTAGAAATCGTTGACGCGACTCGGCCCCCAGCATGGAAAATGCATGAATTAATTGGCATTTGGTTTGGTTAAGTGCAAAACAGAACTCACTGTCAACATCACTAGCACTCTTGAAGTTTGCTGTTGTATACGGATCCCCTGATTACCGCGGTCTAGCTTCGTAGCTATTTTTTACTGCTTACATATAGTTTTTTATACGTGCTGTTTTTACGGACACTTCTTCTGGAGGCTCAAATTTACTTCGACATTGCGCATTTCATTTTTCAGTCCCAAGTTCCAATCCTGTATGCCTGGATTGTGAGGATCCGAGGACCACTCACTGGTTGAAACCTAGAGGCGGAACTCGTACGAACCGGAGACGGCGGACTCATGACAACCTAGCACAGTATTCTTCGCCGCTACACGACTGTGTTCTGTCTTGTGAGACAGACCGCTATCGTGCCTCACTTAGTCATGGGTCTTTTGAAATGTTCCAAGACGCTGTTCACATGGCCAGTGAGTAATTGATTCTCAATTGATGTGTTATTTTTTTTACCATGTAAAATTTTTAGAGAGGTATTCAATTTGTATGCTCTTATTGTGTATATAGCGCCATTGAGTTGTGTTGCATAGCGCTGGGACCAATGAAGACGATTGGATGTTTTGCACCTTCTATCCGCAATAGTTTTGGTCAGCAGCTTGTTTACTCATTAGATGTATTTCCACTGTAGACCATTCGTTACGAGGAAGAGACTTGACATAGGGTGTATTGTTGTGCTGTTCGGTCATGACTTCCGGGTTGAGATTGACTATTGCTAGTGGTCACTGTGTGTTAACCAAGTGCTTGTATTCCTTTTCCAACGAACGATTGTATGTTAGTTCCTTTTTTAATCTAAGGCCGGTAATGAGGTCCGAGAGACCCGATCATCTTTCATTCCTTGTATTTCCTTTGTTTTGACCAGGACAGCTACGGCCTATCTCGGCCCATATGCCTCCTACGTTTTTTTAATAGGCATGTGCAGACAGAAGGCCGAATGCACATGTTCGACTAAACGCTGCCACCTGCAGGTAAATGTTGTGTTCTAGTGCTGCAGTGATCCCACTCGTTACGTTGACTGTAACTTCTTTCCACAATGTCTAAATGGTGTCAGAAAGGCCAAAGGAGAGCGGAATTAGACCGATTGCGGCGACTATGTAATATTTACAATTGCAGTGTGAGGTGGTCTGGAGGTTGAGTCGTACCATCCTCTATGGTGGAGGTATGAAACCCCCAGACTACCAGCATGTTCATATTCATGGAAACAGCGATGCTGCCTTCCCTGATGAAGGGTGGGTTAGAAAATGTCTGCTAGTGATTGACCGTGGCCACTCGTCAGTTGTTGAATACTTTCGGAATATGATTAAAACCCACGAAGCGTCTGATGCGGCTGTAGACGCATCTGTTGTAGTGGTATCAAGAGTGTAACACCTATGTCATACTCCATGTCCACTCGTCTAAGCCATTCTACGAAGCCGACTGGGTCAGAATGTTGGGTCGCGGGAGGGTTCCCCAAGTTAACCCTAATACACTCTACTTTATGGATCGGGCCTTTTGTTCAGAGGCTCAAGGTGAGGCACAGCCAACAAACCCTCCTCCATGGCCCGAGCAGCTTCATTTGAGCTTGAAGCTCTTCATCCGCTGCCTAAAGTACCGCCAAGTAAAACTAATCAAAATAATCTATTAAACAGATGCTTCTTGTTGGGATTTCGCAGTCCCTTCAAAAGATGCACACAGGACCCAACTTTTGTCATACACCTCAAACCGCTTAGGACGAGCTCATCTATTCGACATTCTGCCCTTCGGGTACCTAATTATCGGGGTGCAATGGTCCATGGTGTCTATGGCCTAGGATTTGCACTTGTCTCCGGGACTGAAACCTATTTATCGGATTCTATTCTAGTAAACGGCCGCCGCTGTGCTTCATGGTCGGTTCAGTTAAGATCACTGTAAATCGACGCGGTAAACGGTGCATGCCTGTTATATCTGCATACGTTCCAGCTGACTGTAGTTCTGAAGCTGAGAAACATGGGTTTTGTTGAGATTTGTCACTATTGCTTCGGCCAGGAAGAAGAACGGATATAATTATCGCGACGGCTGATACAAACACCATAGTAGGATGACCAAACCCTGACTAAGCACGCTTGGGTAGTAAATTTGGTTTCGATGTTCAGCGTACGGATAATCATTATCATCATTATCAGCCGTAAGAAACGCATATTTGTCGTAAAATGGTTGTAGCTGCCACAGTTTCCTTCATCGATGATTTTGGGAGATAGTGTGGGTAGCTGCGCAATGGAACCTGAAGATGGTATGAACTTTTAGCTCAAGTGCTCACACCGAGTTACTTTGAGACCATCGATCACAAGCTAACCGTGAACTCAGTTGGATCATGTGGTCGACGGAGGGTCTCAGTTTAAAATTTTCATTTCTTCCGGAATACGCAACTTGACTCTGGTCGTATCATTGTGCGGGCTTGGTTATCACTCCGCTTTCCCTCAACATTACGCGTGTGGAAGAAGAAACAATTCCGTTCATCAAATTCGACAAGTCCTAGTAGCTCAATGGTATCGAACTGAGAAGTAGCTGGAAAGCTACTGGACCCGCTCAATCACACTGATGACAAAGTCTGTTCGGGAAGTGAATAGAGGAAAGTGAAAGAAACTGTGTCAGCGTCTAGGGCTGTCCGTCCAATTCATTTGACAAGACCCCAGGAACACTGGATTTATTCGGTATCAGCGGTTCTCATTGCCCCTAAAAAAGCCATAGCACCACATAGCGGCCAAAATGGTGTGCGTAGATCCTTCAAGCACCAGAAAATCAAGATCCTGAAGAACGTCAGAACATTGGTGGATTGTCAAAGCACAGGAGACGGAAAAGTCTTCCGCTACAGGAAACGACCGCGCCCTTTTTCGCAAAACCATTCGCGAAAAAGATGGAACGGCAATCCGCTCACAGAATCGTCCCCTTGAGTGCCATGTTCAGCACTTTAAAGAACAGCTCGGTTGGCGTCTTTCAATGAAATCCGTTAATGAACTCAACACACCAAGCCACCATCGACAAGAGAAATACAATGGTAGTTATCACTTCTTCAATGTGACAGGGCATTTGGTCCATATGATTTGCACCCTGCACTTTTCAAAGGTGGAGCGCTAATGAACAATCTGGTGATCGTCAGAAACCATGGTGTCGCCTGGCAGTCAGAGATATCTCCCCCAAATTTATGTCCCTAATGCGAACTATGCGAACTCATGTAGACGCCTTCGCCAGAGTTTATCACGTCCAACGGTGTAAGACAAAACTGGCTCATCTTATCACTGCTGTTCAGCTTTGCTATTGGCGTACAGGTTGATATTCCTCTGTTTGCCTCTGAAACCTCGGTTACCGAAATGCTTACGGGGTGTTCACCCTCACTGAGCATGTGGTTGATATTTCTCTCCGTGATCCAGGTCCCCGAAAAATGCAAACCACTTGAAATAACCTAGATACTTGTGCCGCACGCTTTGTTATTCGCTTCACACCTGAAAAGTTTGAAATACCGCCAGAGCACCGGGTGGGATCAAACCCAAACGTCATACGGGCTATCCAACCGATGTGCTAGGTAAATTTACTTACCTTGTCAGTTGTATACTTTCAGATGGACTAGATGGACAATAGATTACTTTTAGAAGCGAGAAGGCTTGGACAGCTTTTGTGAAACTTCGACGTGACGTCAATTTGTCTGTCAAAAACAGATGATGCACTGCGACGATGCGACCCATGCTGCTTTATGGATCAGAAACGTGGCATCTGCGCGCGGAAAATGTAGGACAATTGTCAGTGTCTGACCATCGACGTCTACAAAGTATTGGCCGGGCCTGGTGGGAACATGGGATTAAGAGTACTGAGGTACGCCAGTTGGTTTTCGGAAAAAGGAATTTTCCCAAGATGGGTGATTTACTCGCGTGTTAGATGACCGTCTCCCCCACAGAGCTCTTTTGCCCAGCTCTGTGGTTGGTGAAAGCTACCGAGAGGAGCAAGTCTGTCATCTGGCAGCTAAGTATGCCTTATCCTGTTTTATTGCTTTCGAATCTTGACTCTTTATTGCGGCTGCGCAGTGTGCTGAAAAATTCCACTTTTCCTAACATGTAGTCTCAACAAACGAAATCTAGTTCGGCACTAGTATGGTACCGTCGAATTATGAATCAGGGGTGCCACTAACATTGGCTATTGTTTTGTGACAGTCGACTGGTATGTCTAGACCAACAGGGATGGGCGTCGTCATTGTGATGTCCGCTTTTCGGAGGAAGTAAATAATCTGTTTAGGGATCATGGGGCGGGGTTTATATGGGTTTGGAGGGTTGCGATGGAAAGACTCTTGTCTCTTCGGAATGGTTTTCATCCGTGGTTTGCTTATTTGTTTGTCCCTGGAATGTAACTTCTGGTTCTTATTCATGTTACCTTCGTGCTTATCATTTCTCATGTAGACTTGCTGGACCCACTTTCCAAGTTTTCGGTAACCACGGAGCAAGAGGACACTGGCGAAGCAGCTTGTAAACGCCTACGAAAAGACTCATTCGTTAACCGTCCGATAAATGGGCAACCTCGTCCGGATTAGCTGTGTACACCTCTTCTTTTGTGACCAGCGTTCAGACTGATAACTCATGTGATTTAGTCCAACCTTACCGTATTTCTTGGGTTGTTCCGGAGCGGCTCATTTATTCCTGTACAGTCGCTTTATCAAGATACCTCAAATACCCATCTGTTCACAAAGTCTGCTTATTGTTTGCTTGGTCGATTGCATTCGCTTGAAAATAGAATGTTATTCACAGTAGTGTTTCACTGTGAATGTAATGCTTATTTCTCCTCTAAACCTGCTTTTTGTTGGTTCTCGTTGTCTTGGTTGATTTTTGTGAACTCGAAAACTCAGTGTTCCATTCTCAGATGCCAAATACTTGATATCAGGGACGAGGAACGGAACTTATGAATGTCCTAAACCCTCGACTTATCTGCATTATTGCAATCTGATGCTGGTACCGCAGCTCAGAAGTACAAGTGTGACTGAATGACATCCAAATATGTAATGAGGTTATCGAAAAATGACCTGAACTCATGATCTGCGAATTCGCGTTAAAACTGTACCAAACGTTGAATCGAGCCAATTCAAGCTGTTCGTGTGTTCAGTTTCATTGCAGGACGTGCTATATGTGACCTTTTTTGAGGGTTCACGTAAAAAGTGAGCTACTCAAGCACCTTTGTATTTCATCCTGAATAGAAACGGTATGCATGACAGTATTGGTTTGATGCGCCTGACAGAGTGGAGCGCGCAACGAACTCCGAGAATTCCGCTTGATCTTATATCATCCTCCTGACGGAACCTCCTTACAGTAATCTCTCCCATTGATTCCCCTCCAAAAGGAGACCATCCCCATCAAATAATACCACTCCTCGCGGGCACCGTGGATTTTGGCTTGCTCCGCACAAGTGGTCGGGGTCCCTGTATTATCTGAATAGCACATGATTGCAACATTTTATACAGACTACCCCTCGAAGAAACCATTTGCTTGGTTCCTTTGAATTCCTTTCAATGTTAGGTCCTTAAAAGGGACCCAGAATTGAAGTTGCCCACCTTAAGTGAGTCCCCCAGGCCTCATCTTCCGAGGGGAGTTTTGTACATTTCGGTTTAAGGAGACCACTCAGTGACTGATCAGAGGCTGTCCCTTTTTACGGATGATCTCTTCACACACATTTGTGTGCCCAGTTCCGCTCGGCGGGTTGTTTCAAAAGAATGACCAGTCTCTTTCACTCGGGAGGCTGTTTACCAATAAAGCCCACTGTCGGGAACTAACATAAAGACATCTCTTCCTATGGGTGGTGTAGTTTTTGGCTTTTATGTCCCAGAGGTTCTCTACTGTATTTTAAAAGAGGCCAACTAGCCGTTGGGTTCTTTATTAACAGGTGCAGAAATTTCCATAGACTACATACTAACATATTCTTCGGAGTATGATACCGTGTGTTGTCCGTGTGAAAATCCTGTCAAGGTTTATAACTCTAATCCCCTCACCAAACGCTTTTTGGCCATTATCTAGGCAACCTTGATCCCCAAGGCACTCCGTTGTTTTGGCCTATCAAGTTCCACTATAATGGAACATATTTCGATAATGTTTGCTGTGCACGAATTTGTCCGTCTCGCGTAGGACCATTTATGGACTGACTTCTGAGGGTGTCTTCCAGTTGAGGTAAACGTATCCCATCCTGATGTATGGTCTCCCTTGGGGCTGGTCTCTCCAGACTGTGATGGCCAAATCCACTGAATATTGATTGCAGTTTCTGGAGATCATAGCGCTACCCTAAACAGAAATTGGCTTGATGAAGCGGTACCATGCACATCACTGTTATTATCTAATATAACTGTCTGAGTCTAATGCCTGTAGATAGTCATAGTGCTACAGTTATCCCACTCCGGAGAGGCCGCCGTCAGCAGGGAACCGCTTCTGTTTGGTTTCTTGAAGTTTTCTTGGACAGTTAGGAATCTAGAAGGGTCAGTTTTGGTTGCTGAACGGGAAGATGAATACATAAGGCAACTCGACTTCATTTGGTATATATTCTCCGGTTAGACATAAGAGTAACTATATTGCGGGGCTATATTCAGATTTGGAACTCAGCTAATATGGCCATAATCTCAAGCGGTGTCTTATAAACCAGTTTATACGTCTAGATTCAGATCCTTCAGCCTCTTATAACTCAGTGTAACGAAACGATGTTGTATTAGCATTTGGTAGGAACATGTGTCTAAACACCTGCTCATATATGTATTTGGAAATTCAGATTTGGATGCTGCAAAGTGGAGGATTCCTAACGAAGTTGTAGCTGTGCTCTTGGGCGGTAAATGTATCCTCCTTAATAAGATGCTTGTTACAATGTGGGTCCTCTGATAGAGGGTCACAACCTATCACCCCTCGTTTCAGTCTCATTTTACTACCACCAGGATTTCGGGCGCGCCTTTCTTACGATCGGTAGGAGATTCCCCTTCCCTAATGAGATCATCACCCCTTGAGTGTTTTTTGTTAACGATGGATCGTTATGAATGTACTGGTATGTGAATAGGATCTGTCTGGACGCACGCGCTTGATTTGAACCACGGATGGGTTGTATGGAGCCAGATTAGGTGCAGTATGAAAACTTTTGGTGCCCATGTTGGCAGGAAGGCGAACATGCAAGAACCTGCCGCATGGGATTAACCAAAATGGTTGTCCTATGCAGGGGAATTTTTGGAGTAGATAGGACGTGATTGAGTTAAGCATCACACTTAATTCTGTTTTGCCGAGAGGTTCCTTTGAATCTCGTTGGTGGTGCTGCTCAACAGAGTTTGCTGCACTATGATAACCTCATTTCATTCCGACCGATATTCAATAAGATGAAGTGTTTTTCCTTGGTGGGATACTACTTATGGTTATGATGGAAGCTGTTTGATGGGTGACTACCGCTTTCGCCCCTTTGGCGTGAGGGATTCAGTCGAATCTCTTTCGAGTCTGCCATTAACACAACATTAATTCAGAAATGGATGTTTGACCTCATATGGAAAGTTATGGCACAAAAATATAAATCCCTACCTGCTGGGTCCTATGCGAAAGCGAAACCTTAACGGGATTGTCCGAGCTATACGAATAGTTCATGTCAAGTTATGGGGTCATCTCACTGTTTACTGAGCCGAGAACCGACGGGTCCAGGGTTATTTGTTTCCCCATCTGGTAATATCCGAGTGTTTCAATCGTATTTCAGTTGGGTGGCGCGTACTCAGCAAAGCCTAACGAAGTAACCTGCATGTAATTAAGCATTTAAGCAAGTTTGGCCCTCGAATCTTTGCATGAACAGGCGGTTATGTGGTGGCAGGTAAGCCCAAGTTATGACCGAATTTCGTTCATCAATCTGGCGCATGAGGAGACGGCTCAACCGGGACAGTCGTATATATCAAGTGCCGCACTGTGGTTTAAGGCACGCACGAAACCACTGGACCACGGTGATTTGGGTTGGCCGGACAGTTGTGTGGGCCTAGCCAACAAGAGGTAATACGTAGCGTGGGTCTGCTTGTCGTTTCCTTAGCCCATGGTACCGTGAATGACATGGCGGATGCCGAATGCGTAGGCTTGTCTTTCTCGCCAGTGCACTCGACCCGATACTGAGGGAATTCGTGATGAATCGCAGCGGCACCGGTGCATCACTAAAGTGTGAAGACATAATCTCGCGGTGAAAGGAAGAAGGCCTTCTTTTCTTAGTCATTTGTTGGGAAACACCAACTGAACAGTTATGGACTATTGGACAGGGGAGCAAAACTCTCGTATGCATCTTGTTTATAAAACAGGGTATCCGCCTTCTCGAACGGGTCTTCCTTAACTTTTCTGAATACTCATTGACTATCGCTCAAGTGTAAACGAATGCTACAAAGCAATTCCCAGAATCCCCCCCTTCCATTACACGCGAAGCGGAGTTCCCAGAAAACCACATACTAATAGCATAACTTATCAGTAGTATCCGCCGTTACAATAGTAGCTACTTTGCGAATATACGCTTAAGAAGAATAAATCAACATAGCGCATTACAGTCCCGATGGAACCGAAAGCTCATGAACTACCCCCCGTGCGTAGCGGTCCTAGTACCTAACCCAAGTCAGTCTTATTCTCAGAAATTGCGGAAGCTGTAAAGATGAGTTTAGACGTGATCCAATCCCATTTGGTTGAGTCCTAGTTAGTCGTAGGGTTTCCATAGTCTCGATGGCACTGAGCACCATACTAACTGCAATCACTCGAGGCAACATCCATCTCTGAGAGCTTCAATTGCAGGGTGACCGTATTTAAATGAAAAGTGCAAAGCTTGTCGTCATCAATCCAACAATTGTTGAGACCGCAATAACGAGGCCTTAGAAGTTGCATTCCTTTCCTGATGACCGAGTGACATGAATTTGTTTGCTTTATTTGCTGTACTGAATTTAATAAGAACGATCTCTGAATGAAATTCCTATTGTTCGGTGGTAAGTTATTTTGCTCCTCTTGAGGCAATAGTGACAAAGAAAGACACTGAAATGTATAATAAGGATATGGAAAACGCAACGTTTGAGGCTGTATATTTACGGTGTTTAAAACCCCTTAACTCAACATGACAGAGGATATAATCAGGCTTTCAATTTCCCTCGCTCGGAGTACACCAGACTATGGTCCGAACGGTCAACTATACCAATAGCCACGTTTTGGTCTTAAGTATGATCTTTCTACGTCTTGTCACGATTTGGCAAAAGGTGCAGATGGATGTTATGAAGAGAAAGGTAGACAATGACTAGTTGGAACGTTCGACCGGTGCACATTTAGCTTATGGCGAATATCAAGTACTGCAGTTCAACTGTTCTCACCGTGTGGCATGGGGCGATAGTGACAGTGGGGCTGTTGTGCAAGGAACTCAACCAAATCGCCGTCCGAATTTCAGTATACCTTCCTATGCCTTCTAGTATAATATTTTTAGCAAGTGGTGCACAATTAATCAAATTAGGACATAACCCAAAGATAGTGAATTTCGCAGTGTTGAGTCCAAGAACATAGGTGATAAAATGTGATTAAAACAGCCACATATCAAAGAATCAGCTAGTTGGTCTAACCATCATTCATGTTTTTCATGCGTGGATCGAAACCACTGTGATACAAATCTATCATTGCATTTTTACTCGCCGCTGTCCATGTATGATCTGTCTGACAGTATTGTAGCCCATAGACTTCTTTCGGGTAGTATTTGATGTCCGAGTGCACTGGAATAGTCCATTCCGTATGGATTGTGCTGTTTTTCCTAATGATGCATCTTTACTAAGGG